GGTGCTGACACCACTGCTTCTACCAGACTTTTTAAGGGTCCTGGTACCACTGCTTCTACCATACTTTTTAAGGGTCCTCGTACCACTGCTTCTACAGTACTTTTTCAAGGGTCCTCATACCACTGCTAAAAACTGTACCTAAGTGCTGGAAACTATTTTTTCCAGCATGACTATAGCTTTTATGAATCATTTTTGAAAAAGAAAATCATACCTTTTGGGACCTATATATGAGAAATGATAAAGATGACATAATAAAGATATGATCAACAACAGTGTTCTGAGTGTAAAAAGTATTCTGCAGGGTTAGACTAGATTCGAACCCTGAACTTTAGGTTGCTGAACTATCGCTTCAACGGATTAAGCTACCTGGTCAAACCAAGTGTACTTCCCAAATATTTAAAGCCATATCGAAACGGAAGTTAACAGGAGGCTATTGCATACAGGAAAAACCACAAATCATAGGGATCCTTAAATATTTTTAAGACATTTGAATTCTTCATTGCAGAATAATAAACGGTTTGAGTAGGCAAGCGCGAGGAAACAATGACTAGAGGAACAGCATGGTAAGATGCTTGATTTTTGAAGTTTAACAGACAATATCCCTTTAAGTATTCTAGCAGAGTAATGTAAAAACCACAAGAGAAGCGAAATTCGATTTTTGCATATCATGACATATTTTTGGTCATTTAATGACTGACATTTTATTACTATTATCCATGTTGTCAAGCGCTTTAGAGTAATTTTACAAATTGTTTAGGGCGCTATATAAATGTTGTGTATTATTATTCATGAAATAATTTCCAGGCAAAATTGTAAACATTTACCACTGCGTTATAACTAACATGTATATAAACATGCAGAACATCTAATACTGCTTTTATAGTCTAGCTTTCATTAAGCTATTGATGCGTACCACTCTGACTGAATAAAATTGAGAAATCACAGGGAATCTGTGAAATCAGGCAGAGAAGAAATCAATAGCTATTCCATCATCCCGTATTGATTAAGAGGAATATTTCCGAGTGAGCGGTGTTTCCCGTTCCCTGTACATGTTCTCGTCTTCTCCGGAGACATTCGGAGTAACAACATCAGGAAGTTGGTGAGATGTCAATGCCTAGTTATTAATGAATTAATCGTCATGACTGTCAAATAGAAATTCTAAGCTGTATAACCACGACAAGTAACTGGACTTAGAAAAAAAATCACAATAAAACCCCGGATCAATTCATCCCAGGCCTTACAATTAAAACTTTAGTGACAAATAGCTTTTGTGGATGCAAAGGGGTCACATCAAGTCAGAACCCCAAACCCCCATATCATGAAAAAAAATGAAAAAATATTATCCATCAAAATTAAAAATCTGCGATAGAACTTTCAAATGACTGTTTCTTTAATTTTGAATACTTCCCCGGTATTATTATGTGTTTTCATGGTTGCCATGGTTACCATTTTTTATTAGCATAAATTAATGAAATTTGAATATTCAGTAAATTTTGACAGGTTTTTGCCGAGTTTTTCTCTTAGTTATACCATAGAGCGCAATCTTGAACAAACTTTATATTTCTCCTTAAGGTGTATTACAGGTGCTTACACACTATCCTTTGATATTAAGTTTGTTCAAGCATGTGTTCTATAGTTTTTAGGAGAAAAACTACGCAAGATATGACAATATTCACTGGATATTCAAATTTTTCAAAGTTATCCAAATTTGATCTTGGCAACATGGCAACAATAATTAGAAATACAAATAAATATTTTCATGATAGTATTTGGGAAATATTTAAATTTACAGAAACAGTCGTTTGAAAGTTGAAGGTTTTGAATTTTGATGTATTTTTGGGGCCAAAACACTCCCAAACCATACATATAGTCCTTATTAAAAAATTAAAAGAAAATTCTAAAAGAAAATCAAAACAAATTCAGAGTTTAGGTTAGTTCAGGTTTAGTTCCTGCAGCACATTTTGAAACCCTATTAAACACAACTAATGGTGAAACTCAGCATCAGCATCAAAATCAATGGACCATGAATTATAGATCACACTCATCAGCATTCACAGCACAGAATATGATACAGGGTGTCATCTGGAACAAAAATATCTCTAAGGGTTCAAAAGTTATGGCCACAAGAATTCATCAACATTTTTCACCAGATTACAGTGACATTGTGACACTTCAATTGTAGATTCATCAAGACATATCTTTCATGGTTTAAAATGTTTTGTCCTGGCAAGATTTCTCAGGAAATTCTGTACTGATTTGATCTTTAACCTTGAGGATAAGGTCACGTCGTTAATTGAGTTAATTAATTTAATTACAGTCCAGACAATGTTACATAAGATCTAGATTTAATACAATTGGTCTCCATTCATTTGAAGGAAAGATATCATATATATTTGAAGCATTATATCTACAATGTATATTTAATATAGAAACAATTTTCAAAATAAATTTGTCTTGTTTGTCATATTGCATACAGGACAATCCCCATTCATACATAATGAATAGCATAAAGATCATATAAGAAAACATCTAAACAATGAACAGAAGAATCAGTATCATACGCCCCCTCAAAAAAACATGTTTTTATCAAAGTCATCAATATGAAGGTATGACGGAGATTGGACGATTTAAGTCACTTAAATTCTTATGTCACAATGAGATAACAAAAAAAAAGACAATTGTAGTAGTTATCTAGAAGTTAATGGTTGGTCAATGTTGTGGCTGGTTATGCTAATGAGCGGGTCGGTTATGGTTAGAGAGACAGGGCTACTACTGTGACTGTCAATTAAATAACACCTACTTTGCATAATTTATTTCAATAGTAAAAGTCCACCTACACATTGTGTATATGAATATATATTATTTCCGGCCATATAAACACATCCTAACTTAGGTCATGAACTTTTATGTAACCCGAAAGGTGGATTGCAATTTACAGCCCACACAAGATTTTGCCTTAAATGTTGCACTAGATTTTTGTAAACTCAATAGTGAGGGCCTGGACAAGATTTCACCAGAAAGTTTACAGAGGTCAAGATCACAGTGACCTCAACTTTATTGCACTGCAAACCATAAGTTTCCTCAAGATATTTCTTATTGGTAAAAAGTTATCACTTGAAAAATATTGTAAAGGAAGTTTTTCACTTGCACGACCTTGGACCTCAAGGTGTTTGGTTTTTTTGTTTGTTTGTATGGATCGAGTTTAACATCCTCGCAAAAACTAAAAGGCCATATACAAACTTTATTTATTTTACAACAATTATGAAACAAGTTATTTCAACTTATATCAATCACTCTTGTTGGCCCGGTTGTTAGCGCGTGGGGGTCTTATTGTGGGAGGAAACCGGAGTACCCGGAGAAAACCCATGTGGTCGGGCAGGTGACCCCAACCTTTTCACGTTCGATTGGGGAATCGAACCCTGGCAGCCTTGGTGAAAGGCAAGTGCGCTATCTTCTGCATCACCCGACCACTCTAAAAGGCCATATATGAGGATAGGTGCCTTGTGGGACATCAGTCAAAAAAGGGAGAGTAGAGAGTAAGAATAGAAGAAATATAGATCCCAAGTATTACGATGGGGACATAGCTCTGGAGAAGGCGCACAGCCCCCTCCCCTACTTCATATGCAGAGAGTTTCCTGAGGAACAGGTCATGCGGAAGATGCAGGTCTATGTTTGTCTCTCTGATAACCCCCAAACAGAATGAGGACAATTCAGAAACCCCCAACTCTGCTGTGAGGGAGGTCCCACATTGGTCTCCTCATAAATTACATGCAGTGGGAAAACATCAGGCGTATTCTTTCCCCAAACCTGCAGGGTGAGTTGGAATTCATAGCGACTAGAATATTGTGCAGAGCACAGACCTCTGCACTGTGATGAAGATAATACTTCAGTTTCCATCAAAATAACTTAATAAGAATAAAAAGTTTAAAATTGCACGGCTGGACAGGATTTTGCTGGAAATTCTACAATATTTGACCTTTGACCTTGAGGTCAACATGACATGCAGTGACCTACATCCTTTGTATGTAGTTAAAGTGCACTACACTTTCACTGGTGGTACAATTACACTTAGAGGTATCTTTTATGGCTTAAAAACTGTTGTGACCTATCAATATTTTGCAGAGAATTTTGTAGTTATATGATCTTTGACATTTGGCCTTGAGTTTAAGGTCCCACTGACCTAATTCCAGAGCATTACATACCTCGGGGATAGATGCAGGTACTGACTTCATTTCATGTGCATGAAGATATTATTTTCGGTATAAAAATTAGATCCCACACAAGATAAAAAAAATATATTAGGAAAGAACTGTCAGAAGAACAGGTAATAATGCATTGTCTTGATCCCTTCATTTAAAGATAAGGCAATAGTTAATATTTACAAAATCATTATCAATAATTTATCTTTAACATAAATAACTTGGAGAATGAAATTGCGTCGTAATTCATGTAATCCATACATTTGCATAAAAATTATATAAGAAAACAACTGAACAATGAACAGAAGAATCATTCAGCATCACACATCCATGTCAAAAAGAACATGTTTTTATCAAAGTCATCAATATGAAGGTACGACGGAGATTGGAAGATTTCTGTCAATAGAATTCTTATGTCACAATGAGATAACAAAAACAAGACAATTGTAGTAGTTATCCAGTAGTTAATGATTGCTCAATGGTGTGGCTGATTATGCTAATGAAAGGGTGTTCGTTTACACTGAGAGACAGGATAACTACTGTAATCCTCAATAAAATATACTGCATATAATTTATCTAAATAGATGTGACTTTTCAATTTTGACTGTCAGTCAAGGTCCGCCTACACACAGTCCGTATATGAATAGATATTGTTTTCCAGCCTTGTAAACACATCCATACTATGGTCATGAACTGTTGTGACCCTTGAATAGTAAGTATGAATACAGCAGGTTACCAGCTAAATATATATCCCCAGATACCACCAGCAACAGCCCGCCTGTGACAGTGTGATGTACTTACCGACATTGTGCTCTGTTTTAGTTTCATCGGCCCAAAAATAACCTCATTGTCAGTGTTCTGCAATGACAAAAAATTGACAAAAATCAAGAACAACTCATACAGTTACCCTATATCATAAACATACTTTAGTGGGAGACACTTGCTTTGGACCCTGAAATTGAGCTTAAGATCAAATGATTTCATATGAAAAAGCAACTCAACATGTAAATAAATTCATATTATATTATTTATATATTTATCACTCATGTTGGCCCATATGGAAGTGCACAGTGGTCTTAATGAAGGAGGAAACTAGAGTACCTGAAGAAAACTGACATGTTTTGGCACTCTGGTGACCCCATACCTTTCGCATCAGATCGGGGAGTCACATCCCGGGCATGGTGAGGGGCTTTTACAACTCAAAAGATGCTATTTTAAAGTGTTATTTATTTCCAAGGATGTATGAAGTCACACATTTCACTTATTTATTTTTTGAATAACATGCATAATTAAATCAAAATAGTGCTTCATTGCTCTATAATATGAAATAAAAATGTCCTACTTGGAGATTTATCGCATTATTCTTCAACATATTGGCCATTGACACTAAATACTTGAATTAATCTTGCTTTAAAGTTGACACAAGTGTTACAGGAGAGGAAAAATGCATGGCTTAACCGGGGTTCAAACCCGGGACCCTCCGAACTCTAGATGGACGCTCTACCAATTGAGCTATCTGATTGCCGACGATCGACCCAATCCAGTTCCACTACCGGTACACAAGAATTAACAATGTAGCATCAGCCCATCAGACAACTGGCTTCATTTCGTGCAAAAATTTGTTTTTGAACATTTTCTTCAAAATATTGGTCTCTCTGCCATGCATTAATACTCCAAGTGAGGCAGAACAACATTGACCTCTCGGGTTTTTCGCTATTGTTCGTTACATCATTAATAACAAATTTCAGGATGTGTCAGGGATAATAAGGGTCATTGACGACACTAACAATCGCCATCCAGGCTTCATATTCAAATGAGAAATTCGCGGACGGTTTATCTTGGTTATACCATTGCAAATTATTTTGATTATTGACCAATCAAATGCTGGGTTACATCTTAAATGAATTAGAATACAGCTTAGCTGACACTGAGTAACAATAGATTAAATTTACGCAGCTTACTGTCAATTCCACAGAACATACCTGGGTGGGTGATGACAGGTAAACATGAGAAAGGTGATAAATCAAAGATGGATGTATCAATGTAAACCCACATAATCTGAAGTCTAGATTGATTTCTGCTGAATAGAGTCATTGAAATTCCTACACATAAACAGGCACAAAGCAGGAACATGTACAAGTTTTTTCCATTAACCAGCTTAACACATAATATATATCCTTAGCTGTGAGAATAGCGATCCCAGCAACTCCCCCAATTTTATTCTCTTTTACATCGTGCAATTAAAACACCTTCTAAAGCTATAGAGCCTTTCTTACAATTCCCTGGTGAAACTCTAGGCTCTTCTATATAGTGACACAGACAGTTGTTTTTAGAATAGGTTATGCCATGTTCCACATTTCACACTTTGATAATACAAGATGATGTGTTACCCCATTAATCAGAACTTCTTTTCCACTTCAATACATCTATTATTATCCAAATGAAAAATCAACTACCGTGGAAACTTGTGTTATTTGCACACTTTGTTATGAGAAATTTAATGCTCAAAGTAGGGGTTGCGCAAAACACATAACCGTGTAAGCGATTTCAAGGTGTTTTTTCCACGATTGACGATTCTGGCAGACCGCCATCTAGGACACAAGAGATCATCTTTTTGTACTTTTACTGCCATTTTTAATCCCTTTTACCCCTCTGTAACTTTAGTAGACTCTACCATGCATCGATCTGGTTGAGTCCATTAAGGACCATAGTGGCGAAAGGGTTAAGCTATGGCATTGTAAAAACATTAAATTTTCCATTATGTCCAAAGTTATTAAGGTTTTTTGTTTTTTTTGTTAATTCAAAACTCGAAACATAAATTTAACATTAATATTGAGGCAATGATAATCAATGTTTTCAGAAAATATAAGACAAATCTGAGAACATTGATTGCTGGTATATACAAGTTAATGCAGTACCACACATATGTGTTTATCTGACATTTCTAATTTTATTTAGTTACACAAGTGGATCGATGCCCTTGTAAAAAAATTGATGCATTCACGAAATTAGTGAAATTAAAACCCTTATGTCAATATTAGAAACTACCTACAGTACATCGATATACATGTACTTGGATGAAGCCTATATTGTCCACCGCCATCATATATACTGGTTTGAAATACCACAACAAAAAGTCAAGCTTCTGTAATCTTAAACAACTTAAGCATGCTTGTCCCACTGAGGACAAAACACAAGCGGTTTCAACTGTAGTTTTTTATTGTCATACAGTGACCTCCTGTTAATTTTGTTTTAGATGGGCTATAGAACTACCACTGCTATAGAACTACCACGGCTATAGAACTACCACTGCTATAGAACTACCACGACTATAGAACTACCGCTGCTATAGAACTACCACGGCTATAGAACTACCACTGCTATATAACTATGACTTCTATATAACTACCACTGCTATAGAACTACGACTGCTATAGAACTACCACTGCTATAGAACTACCACTGCTAAAGAACTACCACTGCTATAGAACTACCACTGCTATAGAACTACCACTGCAATAGAACTACCATGGCTATAGAACTACCACTGCTATAGAACTACCACTGCAATATAACTACCACTGCTATAGAACTACCACTGCTATAGAACTACCACTGCAATATAACTACCACGGCTATAGAACTACCACGGCTATAGAACTACCACTGCTATAGAACTACCACTGCTATAGGTAGCTCAGATGGTTGAAACAACCATATTGTGATCAAATGTGCAGACTGTTCAATCGTAAAGTTTAATTACCACATTGCAAAACTGTTGCTAATTTGTTTAGAATCCTTTCCGTACGGTTTGCTTGTTACTTTTATTAGTCTCTCAGAAAAGTTCCTCAAGTTTTGGGTTAATTCCTTTCAGAAATGATTGCCATGCAGAAAACAGTTTCCATTTCAAATGTTACTGGTTTTTGGCAGTGGTATGGGATTCCTTTAAGTCATCCTCGCACTGAGCATATATATAATCATTAGGGACAGATATATGGGCCAGTTGTGACATCACATATCATGGCCTCATAGTTATGTCAAACAATTCATTTGAAGATTTCAATACATTTGACCTGTGACCTTGAATATGGATCAACAAATGTAATCCATTTGAACCAGAACACATCCATCAGCTAAGTGCTCTACTCAGTGCATGTCGTAAACAAGTATCACATTTCTATTATACACCTATCAACAGTAGTGTATACGATTATACAATATTTGTTCATTTTCAGAGAAATTCATACGGGGTGACAATTACACAAAAAAGAGGGGTATAGATTGTTCTTATAGGTATACATTTTACAATGTATTAAAAAAATATTCTGCATTACAAAATTGGTATTCATATATAGATGTACTTTACAACTTCCTGTTGATAACAAGAGGCCCAATGGGCCTGTATTACTCACCTGGTATTCAGTGTTGTAACATTAAATTTCATTTGAACAATTAACTTGATGTATTAATGCATTTGACACATGTGACCTTGAAGGTTGGTCAAAGTATTTCATTTGAACAAACTTATGAGCCCTTCATCTCACCATGCCATTTCATAAATGTCTTAATCCAAAGCCAAATGGTTTAAAGAATTAAGTTGATGTTGGATGGACAGATGGACAGATGGACAAAGAATGCTGCTGCTGATCTAGTAGTCAGCATAAGCTCATTTGACAATAAGCTAATAATGTATGAATTTTGCTCAAATTCAAACTCAGCTTTTAGTCTTTCTACGTTGTACATTCTTAAAGGTCATAAGAAATTGGATAATATTTGAGAGGGTTAATGTGTTAAAAAAACTGAGAAAGGAAATGAATACTGCAGAGCAAAATTGATAACCCTCTTGCCCAACATCAAAGTAGATTAAATACCACAGTTTTAGCTGGGAAAGATCAGCTTTTTACCCACTAGGTGGAGCTATAGCCTCCTACAGAATAGCACTTTTGATGTCATAAAAGTGACAGGCGATTATGACATCATAAAAAGTGAAAGGCCATATTCATACATCACATGTGCTTTTGTTTATAACCATGTCAGAATACTGTAATTGGGTTTTTGATTGGAATTGTAAGGCGGGAGAGTAGTAAAACAGAAATATGTCCGACCCTCAGGGTGATATTTTTGAATGTCAAACCCTCCACTTGACCCAATAGTAGCCTTGGGTTAGACTATCAGGAATATCACCCCTCGGGTCAAGGTTTCTCTGTAATACCCTCAAGGTGGGGGGATTAGATTCTATTACCAACGTACGAGCAAAGTAAGATGCAAACTTTCTCTTAGATTTACCTGTAAGTATTAACATCAACCGTCTATTATGTCCCATAATGATAATATAATATTGAACGTCATAATTGCCTCTTTCATCTGATATTAAACAGCAGATAAGTATATATTTTTTTCTGATGTCTATATAAGGGACGTATCGTTTACCTTTCTGTTTCGTCGACACTGGCAGGTCCCCATGGCCAATTGATAAGTCCTATCTAATTAGCGGAAATAGTATCCTGTACGTATTCATTGACACAAGTCGACGGTGTCACAGGAACAGATTCAGACACAGTTTTAACACAGAAGTAGCATCTCAGGTACAATTATCCAGGAAGATGTTAACAAAGGTGAGACATACCTATACAAGTCTACATTGTAACCCTCACACACATATATACACACACTGTGACCCAGCTCCAGACCAGGTCCTCACATCACCCACAGCAATTAAATGGCTGGCTTAAAATAATTACAGTCACCATCCAATAGCTTTATCTTTACTTGTTGATTGACTAGGGACTTATGGATAGGCATCAGCAAGAAAAGGTGGCTGTCAGCCTGCCCTAGTTATCCGACATGTGGACGACGCT